TTCCTATAAAAAGCATATAATATTGTAATATAATATATTAATAGAACATTCAAAAAATATTACATCAATAAATCAATCAAAAACTTACATCATAATATTTTGACTTTCTATACTTTTCAGCACCTGCCATAAATTGCCATGATTTTCCACGAACAGATTCTGGAACACCTAGGCGTACCAATTTTTTAATCTAACAATTAATAGATTAATTAAATTATTTATTGAGATATTATTATTATCGTTAATTATTAATTATTTATAATTATTATTAAATCAAATCATACTTTTCTTGAATCTCTTGCCATATTAGGATCCATAGTACCAAGAATAGCCAACCATTTAGCCTCACGTTCACGATATAATCGAATAACTCGTGTAGTTTTTTCCTCTGTACCGGGTGCTTGTATTCTAAAACATGAATATAATTTATAATTTATAATTTATAATTTATAATTTATAATTTATAATTTACAATTATTTACAATAAAAAGATTCTATATATTTGAAACATACATTCTTTTAATTCGATCAGCTCCTGGTGGGATTTCTTTTTCAGAAACATCATAAACAAAACCATATTCATCAATTGCAAGAATTTGATCTTTTTTCTTTTTTATGCTTTTAGATTCATTTGAATTTGCGGAATTATTGAATTCCTTTCTATCTATATACTCTGTCTCGTCATCAGTGGTAACATCACTTTCGTAAGCACTTAATGGTTCATTAGGTGTTTGAAGTGTTTGTGGTGCATAATCTATTTTAACAATCGGAATTGTTGTAGATTTTTTATTATTTTGGTATGAAATCTTGTTAGCATTATTGTTACTACTATTACTACTACTACTATTATTTTTGTTATTATTATTATTAGCATATGATATTAAAATGTCTTCTTCCTCTTCTTCCTTCTCTTCCCGCTCATATTCACCATCTTTCTCATAATTTCCATAATCATTATAATCATCAACATCATTACCAAGAGTTATTTTAGGAACATTCATATCAGGAATTTTACTTTGTTTTACTACTGTTATTACAGGTGTGATGGAAACAGGATACATATTATAATCATCTATATCATCATCATCATCAACACTGTTTACTATAGGTGAATCATTTATCATAACTTTTGGAAAGACTGGTGATGGTAATGGTGAAGTTGATGGTGAATAATGACCTACTTTATTAGAAATAATGTTTGGATTCATTGATTGATTCATTTGATACTCTGGAACATTATTATAATTGTTTATAGAGTTTTGTGAGATAGGAGATGCACTTCTTGGTGAATGTTGGCCATTATATGAGTATTGATTGATTGATTTAGAATGTGCTAATTTTGGCGAGGATGCAGGTGAGGTTCTGGGTGATACTTGCATTCTGTTATCACTATTGTTTAAATTTCTCGAAATGTCCCTATAACGCCTTCACAATATCCCTATTATGTATATTTAT